CATGGTTAACTGCGCGTTCATAATACGCATCGATTGAGTCTATTCCCGAGGCTAACGGCCTAGATTTGAGGCCAGAACAGCTGTCCTGGTCCAAACGATCAAAAAGTACCCAAAAAGGAAAAAAAAATCGTCCGCGCCCTAAGTTCTGCAAAGAGCTGTAACATGTATATTGAACTTGGTCAGGACATTCCTGAGCATGATCAATATAACAAAGCTCGCTTTCTGCTCAACATTGCAGAGATTGGTGTCATGATTGGCACAGATGCCCTGGAGGTACAAGATAACCTCAACATTGCCACAAAAATATTCCGGACACTAGGGTATATGAGGGTGGTGAATAACTGTGACATGATTTTTGCAGACCTTCATCTCAGGGAGGGCAACTTGTTGACTGCAAAGGACTTCCTGCATCGGTCTTTGGATGCATCTTGGGGAAAAGATCATATAACTATATCCTACTGTCTAGAGAGGCTTGCTAATGTTGGTCGCTGGACTTCTACCAGTACTAGCTGGTCATACAAATGGCCAACAGTATATCTGGCACAGGCACAAAAAATACAGGAGAAGCTGGCTGTGCACAAGGCGCTATGTTTTCTTGGTGATGTTTTCTTTTCTCGTGGAGATCAGCACACAGCATACAGCTTGTTTGTTGTAGCTCTGGAAGGATTCACCTATATGGATATACATCGCAGCAGAGCTGACTGCATGCTTCGTCTTGGAGATATTGAAAAGCACAGAGGGAATTCAGTGAAGGCCCAAGAGCTTTGGAAATCAGCCCACTCATTGTTTGAGCAGTCATCACAAGCCAAGGACATGGCCCAAATTGACACCAGACTTGCCTCCATTGACCAAGATATCTTGGACACCCACCAGAAAACATATAGACAGCCCACCACTTTGTTGGATGAGCTGTCACTTGCAAAAGACAAATCTGTGTTGAGTATTGAAGATGAAGATAGTACACTCATGAAGAAAACACTTTTGGGTCTAGATCTGGTTGGACAGTAGTTTCTCCATGATTTCTATTCTACTCGTGAGGGGAAGTTTCTATGTCAAATCCAGTTTTCTTCATTCCTCATTTTACCAGCTTAAAGAGCTGAGGACACTCTCCCTTTACATGCAATTGATAGACTGTTTCTCCCTGGATTTTGGTGTTTTGTTCGGCCTCGATAGCTACTATTAGTATGTACTGGGTTGTCTTCTGATGTTGAAATATGCCTTCATTTCTTTATTCTTGACGATGAGAGTCCGCCTGCCAAATTACATAAAGAGGGATGAAAATTTAGTGCAGGGTTCCATTGAACTAGGCTTGGGTGTGGTGGAAGAGATGAACTATTTATGGACATACTTCTCTCGACGAACTTGTGCACCTGCGGGAAGTCGAACCCCAAACTTATCATTCTAGACAATGTCAACAAGAAATTCGAAAAATTTGACACCTGGACCAAATACTGAATTTGCATGCCACATGATTAAGATTTTGCCTGCTCCATTTTTTCGACCAGAACCCCAGCATAATAATCCAATTAGGCGTTTCGAATTCCACTATTTTGAAATCCAGTGATTTTTTTATTCACCACAGCTCCGAGGATAGGGTCGACTCTCCAGCGTATCTAAGTACTCAATCTCGTTGTGGTTCTAATCCAACTCCTAGTCTCGGACCAGTCTTAAAGTTATCTTTTGCCACCAGCATCGCCCACTTTTAACCTACAAACCACGGTTTGCAAGTCCCCTTTGCTATCCACTCGCAGTATTCAACCACATCATATTATTCATCCCTTTCAACATTGTGCACATCCAACACCCGAATTTCTTTGAGGGTAGAGCAGTAGCGGTGTACGGTACACCAGTCGAATTGTTACACCATGATCAAAGCCATAAGACGACAAGCTCGGAGTTCAACTCCCCGCCGGTGCGTCTGCTTGTCCGATTTTTTTTTTTTGCTTTTCTTCGTGGTGCAGATGGTTGAAAACTCATTTTGCATTGAGGCTGAACAAAAGAGTTTGTAGACATCCAATTCGTCTGCCTGTGTCGTTTGTCTGGGCTTTGGAATCACGATCAACTCAGTCGAAGGTAAGCTCATTCAAGATGTTTCACGCCAATCCACCTCGCTTCAAAGTCTATGGTGTGCGCCATTGGTCGCTGTGGAACTGGCATACTCTGAATCTTCCATCTTCATGTCAATTAGGAGGTCGGCTAATTCGCTTAGTAAATAGCATAGTATCCAAATTCTCGTCCACCAACGTAGAGTTCCTCACCCTCGACATCCCGTCCTCAATAATCTTCGACTCCCTCGTCTTCATCGTCCGTTTGATTGTACACCCCCTCCCCCCGTGACTCTTTCATAAGACGTTCTACCTCCTTCCAACGGCCGAAATATTCTGCTTCTTCCCTTGTACAATAATTACCTGAACAGGCGTCAATGGCCACAGAAGGAAACACCGCAGCGAGGAAGGCAGCCGTCCTGCCAACGTCGTAAATTGTAATTGCTGAGTCTGCAACATCTATCCGTTTCAGCCTGCTTTGGGAGGCCTCTCTCGAGGGCCGGGTCCCATTCTGATATGCCCGTTGTGTGAAACGTTAACCCCAGAGATACAAGATTCGGACAGTGCTGTGCGAACGCATAGAGGTCGTAGACTGTGACGCCAGGGCTTATAGAAGCTATGTAGCAACCATTCCCTCTAAGTGAAAGGTGCTCGATGCGAGGGCAGGAACAAGTCAAGTCGAAAATATCGGCATTGGTGAGGTCGAATCCGAGTGGGTGATGGATAGAGAAGGATACTAGGTTGATGAAACAGAACATGATGCTGAGCACATCGCCTGCGATTGGATGGGACTTCTCGCCGTATTCGGCAATCCAGCCGCCGCCCTCGATACCGATAGTTCGAAGGGACAGGTGATTAAAATGGGGGGCAAAGCCGGAGTGAAGTCGTTTAGGCTCGTCTTTTGTGAGGCTCTCGTCAAAGGACTGGATCTCAAATGTCTCCACCCGGCAATTATGGAGGACGTCGATGAACGCAGTGACGGATTCGAAGGTGGTAGATTTGAAGTGCAGAATTTTGAGGGACGAGTACATATGGAGGAGCGAGGTCGTGTTCTCCACGAGGCGGAGAAGCACCCTAGATGATATCAACTTCAGGGTCTTCAAAGTCGAAGGCTGCCAAGGTGCTCGGATGCCTCTTGATCGAGCTCTTCCACCGTAAGGGACTCGATGCGTTCCAGCTATCCTGAGATCTCCATAAGCGGTTGAGGGCCGGCTCCAGGAATGTTGTACATGTCCTAGCGAGCGCTGCAAGAGCGCGTTGATCGAGTGCATCATCTGCGAGCGAGCCGGATGGGGCTCGAATTTGAGCTCAGGGATTCTGAGGCTTTGGTAGATCCTGGAGTTGTCCTGGAGAAGGGCGTCGGCGACGTGGCAGCCTGAGCAACAAAGAGACCATCATTCGGCACCGCATTTGCGGGAAACTCCGACCGCGCATCACCGACGATTAACATTGAATATTACCAAAAGCCAAGTTCTAACCTAACTTAAAACCGCTTCAAAATACATGTGTACATACAGCGGCGGCATTACTGCCGAGTGAAGAGTCTGCGGTTCGATTCCCCGCCGATCCATGATCCTCTTTCGGCGGCCTTTTCCCCCGTCGTTCGTAGTCAATGAGTGGTACGCATATCATTGTATTTTTAATCACGGCCTTCGAATTTGTCCGGGATTCAAAATATCGAATCAGGTTCAGCTGAAATCCCACATAACCCCGCCCATCCACCTCTGAAAGCGCCACTAATACACCCTCAGATAAAAGGGAGAGAACGTCGGTTGTGTACGGTACGCTCGTCGAATTATCACGGATTTAAACAGTGTTGAAGACGACGAGTTCGGGGTTCGACTCCCCGCCGGTGCATACCAAAGTTATCCAATGTCAACGAGCTTTTTTGTGTTCTCGTTTTGCTCGTGCTCGTGTTCGGTCGACGGGAGCAAATGGATCGTAAACATTCAACTCCCCTGCTGGCTTCTTGTGGTTCGAGAGTTCAAGAGTCAAGATATAAAACCAAGTTCCAACCCAAACTCCCTCATAGCCACAGCCATTCGCCTCCTTAAGCATCCCACAATCCACCCTCTCAGAGAAGCGAGGGAGCACCGGCGGTGTACGGTGTACGGTTCACCTGTCTAAATATGCATGCCCCCAAATCACGATTAAGACGAAGACCTCGAAGTTCGACTCCCCGCCGGTGCATGCGTCGGTCTTCCGATTTTTGGCTAGTGTTCGTGGTCAATGGAATACGTCCTTCCATTAATTTTGCAGCGGAGACTCATTAAGTTCTAGCTGGTCCGCTCAAGAAGATAGAAAGCCAAATTCCAACCTGACCTCCGAAACCGCACCCATCCAGGAGAGGGAGCACCGGTGGTGTACGGCACACCCGTCGAGTTGTTGAGATAATCCAGACGTAAGACGATGAGCTCGGGGTTCGTCTCCCTGCCGGTGCATGATGATAGAATGTGTGTTTTCTTTTTTATTATCTGTTTGTGGTACCTGAGACCCAATGAATCGCGCACATCCAACTCCCCTGCTGGTTTCGTTTGATTGCGGCCTCCGGATGCATACTCCAGAGTCGCTAAAACCAAGTTGTGACAGAGGCCATCTATCCGCCTCCGAATGCATCCCACCAATCTGCTCTCAGCTACAGAGGAGGGAGCACCGGTGGTGTATGGCACACCCGTTGAGTTATTGAGATAACTTAGACGTAAGACGGCGAGCTCGGGGTTCGACTCCCCGCTGGTGCATGAGGTGCTCTTCAAGCTTTTTTGTCTTCTCGTTTTGCTCGTGCTCGGTGGGATGATGTGGTAGCGGAGACCGAATGAATGGTAGACATCCAGCTCGTCTGCTGGTTCAGTTTCATTCCAACCTTCGGATCCAGAGCAAAACCAAATTCCAACTGAACTCTCTCAAACCGCGCCCATTCACCTCTGAAGGTATCTCACCAATCCGCCCTCTCAGAGAGCACCGGTGGTGTACGGTACACCCGTCGAATTATACAGGATGTATATAATTGTAAGACGAAGAGCGGGGTTCGAATCCCCGCCGGTGCATAGTGCTGAGCACAAAGATTTTTTTTGTTTTTTTTGGTCTTTGCTCCCTCAGCATAGAATCCCCGGAAAGAAAAAACTCCTTGAATCTTGGACGTGTATGTTTTCTGCAGTATTTGTTCCCCTGGATCTGGGCTCGAGAGTCATGTAGGTACTATACTTAGTTACACAATTACCAGAGTTCAACGTTCAACTTCCGTCGGATTGCGCGATAATGGGATCCCGGGGACAATTAAGCCGGAAACCTCTTAGTCAATTGACGAGCGTCAAGGAGGTACTGCACCCACATGGTGTTTGACCATGAAATATTGAAACACGTGGTCGACAAAGTCGGATCATTCCGAATTTCATGTGTTTTTCCTGCTACTTTTTTGAACCCTCCTCTGAGAATTAAGCAATGTGTTTGAGAAACCCTTCGTCGAGGGTCTTCACGATGCGCCTTGTCAAGGTAGGTGTGCACCGCATCCGCTGTTAAGAGACTAAAGAAAGGTGACCCGGGGTGTATATATGACTTGAAATCTGATGAACTGGATACAATTGTGAAGTCCTGGACTCGCATCCGGACTCCCATTTCGTCCTGCAATGAGAAAAAAACGAAAAATCACCATTGCACATTATTCGAACCGAGGCTCGGCACCGTGCCGAGAGTATCAACATGGCGAAGCAATGGCACTGCCACCGCCTCTCTTTCTCTTCCTCGTCACATCTCTGCGGACGCTCAGGAACATGGGCACCCGGGCAGCAGAGACGACCCCGCAGTCATTCGCGCTCTTTCATTGGCAGTAACGATCGCTTCGACGTTTACCCGTGGCGTCGTGTATCCCATAGTGGCTAAATCGACACTGAAACCTCTGGTAGACTTCTCTAAGCCTTGTTTTCCTTCCTTCGTGCCACTCACGACATGGTTGCAACAGTAGCCCTCCTCGGTATAAGTTAGCCCGCTAGCGTCCTGTCTTGCCTCCAAACGCCATTGTTATTCCTCGGCCCGTTGGACGCGAGCTACCTCGCATCCGCCCTTCCTGGTAAGGCACGCTACTCCCTCGAGCGTGACTTCCTCGGCGTCTTCTTCATCTGTATCAACATCCACAACTACGTCTTGGTGTCTGTGCACTGGGCATGGCATCCGTCGTGCTGTACCGGGACCGTTGACTGAGGAGATCATGTTCCGCGCATGCAGGCTCACCGTGCGTTGGGTGGTGCCGCGCGCTGGAAGATGATTGTCGTCACGCCGCTCGTCTTCGGGCTCGGTACGTACCTACACATCTTCTCCACAGTCTCTGCTTGACGCGCCTCCAGCGCACGTCCACCACGCATGGGAGACGTACAGCCGCCACGGGCGGTCCTCCGCGCTGAAGCGGGCTGCCGCCTCCACCCGTACATCCTTCTCCCCTGCTTCACACCCCACCCAGTCCCCGAGCCGTCGCTCAGTATTCCAGACGGCGTATACTACACAACGCTCTTCGGCGTGCACGCGTCCTTCCTGTTCCTCCGTACCGCATCCATCGTCCCGCCCCTCACCGCGCACGTTTTCTGCAATATAATGGGCGTTCCGCAGATTGGCGCCGAGCTCCACAACTTCCCCGCGCGCAAAAATGGCGCGTCCATCCGACAGTCGAGGGTTTGTACAGATGCACATCTTGAATCTTGAATCCCAGGGCCCGCAGTGCCTCAGAAGTCTGACAGGTGAGAGCCCCACCGCAGCTGGGCCGCAGCGCTTCCTGGCGTCTTTTAATGTCTAGTTTTTTTTAGGGACACCGCCCACCTTTATCCACCTTTCCATTCCTTTGCTGACCAAAATTTACACCACAATTTCCGCGATCCAGAGTGTGTTTCTTCGAACTCCTTTCTTATAGTTGGTCCGCTGACCTGACCATGCCATTGCCACTAAGATGGCTGTTGGGGTCGAAACTCCTCCCGAGCTCCAGGACATCATCATAGATTCTATGCACAGCCAAAAGCAGGTCCTGGGCACCTGCGGTCTAGTAAGCAAAGCCTGGCTGCGATCAAGCCGCCACCACCTCTTCGGATCTGTGGCTTTGCACCAGCAAAACTGGCCAGACTTTCTATGTCTTGCCAAATCTCCTCTCGCGACATCCGCAGACTCCATCAACAGTTCGGATCTGCAAACTGGAGATGACGAAAATTTTAACAAGCTGGCCGCTGGTGTACCCACATTCCCTGGAGTGAGACGCCTCCGGCTGTGCGGCGTCTATTTGTCAAGTTCCTTCGCGCTCACGGACGACTCGCTCCTCGCCCTCTTTCATAACATCACCGAGCTCGACCATGTCAGCACTTTCGCCACGCCGTACCAATTGGCGTTGTTGGTCTCGCATTTTACGCACCTTCCCGAAGCGGTCGGTAGATCCAATGTCCTAGAGAGCAACATGGTTCCGCTTTCGCCCGCCGTCCCGCGAAGTCTGCAGTTTGAGCGCTTCCGCTCCGCAGCCGGCAACGAAAATCTCACCTCTCGTGGCTTCACGCTGCCGAGCGGCCGCCGTCAATCCGCGTTCTAGAAATGAGCATTCTGGGAACCGACAGCCTCCTGCTGCCGGGGCCGTCGTTCGCGCGCTCGGTACACATCTGGAGGGTCTCGATTTGAAGCTCATCTACCGCGTCACTACCGGTACGCATGTCCCCTTCATCTGTGCTTCACCTCATAGTGATATTCTTTTAAAGCGGGCATCAGCAAGTACATCGACCTCTCGCGAAATACGCGCCTACAGTGCTTCACCATCCACACGAGTCTCCGCCGGTTCCTCTCCCCCGCAGCCTACGCAGGCGACGCGCATGCGTCCTGGGCGCTCCTCTCCGCTCTGTACGCCAAGATCACCACGCTCACGATCGTGCTCGCCCTCGATACCGTCGACCTAATCGACAATTTCGGCTGGGCATTCCGGAGCACGGCGCTCTAGACGCACCCCCCTCTGTCCGCGCTGCAGCGGCTGCGCTTTGTCGTGCACTGCTCCGTCGTGATGGACAAGGTGAAAGGGGCCATCAGGGTGCGGCTGCTTGAAGAGAGTGCGCTCGGGCTCGCGGAGGTGGAGGGGGTTGATACGTCGAGGACACATAAAGGGTAAGCGTATCCGTTCAATTGAATTCTCGTACACATCTTCGTGGATCCACCGAAACCTTGTAATTCACTACTCGAGACTATTGAGTGTTCGGTTTGCGAGCCCACTTGGGAGAAGGCTCAAGATTCAAGCACCCATCGTTATTCCGAATTGGCCCTGGTAATTCAACACCACGTCTCACCCTTCAAGCACGAGTGCCACTTTCTATAAGGCTGTGAAGGAGCAAAAATCCCACGAGAATCTACGATGCTTCGCACAAGTCCTATACAGTACTGCAATTACAGCGTGAATCAAGCGGTGACTGGAATTGCACCGACGCACAGCGCAGCTAGCTTTCCTACTTTGTTGGAAGGGAATATAAATTGGCCCACCGTCGCTCAGGTCTTATATAGAAATCCCGTTAGAAGCCAAACAATGATGGATACTCGTTGAGGGAGTGTGCTGTCGGTCCCGCCGCCGTCAGTCCTCAGAAATATGACGCCGTATATGGCCATGATGACACTAAGTATGCAAAGGTAAGAAGGACGAAGCGTGTCTCGGTTATCCTCGCCAGGATGATCAGGTAACCGTTGAGCCACAGAGGCAGGCGGCCTAGGCGCATCAGCAAAACCTGATTTTTGCCAGAGTGCCGAGAGTAGATGTTCGTTCTCCAGAGTACTCCAGAGTAAGTCTGGTTACTCTAAAGAACTGGCCATACTCTGGAGTAACGGCTCTACTCTGGAGTACTCTGGGGTAAATCTGTCTACTCCAGAGTCAGCCCATTACTCTGGATAGTATCTTAAGTAAATTATGGATGAAACCATAGACTTGAGATGAGAGATGGAATATCCCGACGTTGATGCTGCCCAACTTATATATTCATACTGCTACTATACGACACTACCAATGAACTTGCTTGGAACATTTAAACAAGTAACTCAAGAGTTACTTGACGTATAATAAATCTGCGAAGGCAGTCAGCACAACTTAAAAGTGAAAGACGAGAAATAAATAAATAATTTAGAACCATTAATTAAATGCTGATAGAATACCCCCTAGCACTTGCAAACACGAAATTCAGCTACAAGCAAAGTCGTGAGAAACACAGAATGCGGAAATAAGTAAGGAATAAAAGTGCACACCAAAAAATATTGATAATGGCAGACCCAGAGAAAAATGCAATGAGTCAGATACAAATTGAGGGATTGCGGAGACTTGACCGTTATCAAAAAAAGATGCGATTGAACTTTGTCGGCGCTTTGAAGTAGCCAAAGGATCGGATTTCGATGTACTGGTCTCGAACACCAATAAGGCACCCACCATTCCAAGTCTCGATACGCACATTTTAACCGTGTGCAGATGGTGAGAAGAGTAGGCGCGAGGATGAGGATGACCTGCTCGCGAGAGTGAATCAGCGCAATAGGCGCGATATGGAGGCGGTGTGCCGCGCCGAAATACTCGGAAGAGGAGGGAACATAAGCTTGGGACAGATGCAGGTGCAAATGAGTTGGTGGATCCGAGTGTGAGGTTGAGGACTGTACCGCGGTTATTTGAAAGTAAGACACCGACTTCCAGGTGCGTTCCCCTTGTGTTTCGTCCTACTGCGCGTTGGAGGTGAGCTGACACATTGTATATTTGTTGCAGGCCAGGGACGCCAGTCGTCGTGCCGCCGAAAATGGGGGCGTCGCCCCCGCTGGTGCAGAAGGCACCAGCCAATGGGAATGGGAATGGGGCGCCCGCGAAGACGTTCGAGGGGGCGATTCTCGGGTGATGGAGATCATTGTCGTGGCGCCCTATGCAGCCCAATGAACGCGATATCAGTCGTTCTCCAGCGACCAGAATACCCCATGCGCGATAGCACATATGCTGTTCTGCGGGTCTCGTTTGATCTCGATAATCGACACTCTAGACGGGCGCGTTATCACTGGGACTGATGGAGCTCGGAATTCGTTG